TATGTATTTACGTCCCAGTAATGGTGGATAATTTGGTACGTACGTGTTCGGGCAGGGAGGAGGTGGCCTTGGTTCCCTAAAAAAAATTCTATCCCGAACGGTTCGCGGTCTACGCCATGTTTTATAAAATTCCGAAAATTTGTACTTCTGCTCACATTTGTGGATAGATCGGGTTTTTTTCTTTTAATGTGTTCCTTAATAATGATGTTTCTAAATTACCCTTAAAAATTTTCAACTACTATGGGTAGTATTTTACAAGACGGCACTAAACATAAGTTTAAATTTTTTACTTTATTTAACTGCACTTAAGTTTGAGCACCTGTGGTGACAAAAAAACGCATTGGATCTGTGTGGCCAATTATTTAAAAAGTTTGCCTATATCATAAGGATTCTAAAACATTAGCATACCATGTACTTAATGTCATTACTTACTGAGATATAGCCGTTAATGTGTAAAAGTAGCTATTTCATTACAAAATTACAAAGTTATTGGCAGACTTTTTTTTAACATTGCATGTCTTTATTAGGTAAGTACATTTGTCGGCCTCGAAAATTTTACTTTACTACCTGCTCGCTTTGTTTGGACAAATTCTAAGCTGTGTGAGCGAGACAAACGGTGCTTAGGATTAATGTGAGTAAAAAGGATCGACAGATTCTCTATTGTATGAATTCGTGTTTGGTTATTGTTAAATATGGTTAGTGTGTATCTCGACCTTCTCGACATCGCATGTGCTCTATTATTTGTGACTTTTGGCAACAAAATACTATTTCGCATTCTACTGGACTCTCGACTTGTGCATTTTGATTGGATTTTGATTGTTTGGTGATAATTGTGACAACACGGTATATTACTGGACTCATGACTTCTGCATAATAACAGGACTGTGTCATGTCACGAGAAATATACACACCCCAAGAGTATGCTATCATGCATTTTATCTATGGTGAATGTAGCGTGTTTATTAGAGTGCACGTCATTTATTCAGAGGGGAGAATGCCTGGTGCTGGTATTGGTGGTGCCAGTTTCAGAGGACGATACTTGACATTGACATTGAAGAAATTGTCCATGACATGGTTGAAATAGATCTGTCTATTTCGATGCGAGATATTGAACGACGCACTGGAGTATCGCACTCTACAGCACATTGGATTCTCAAAAAATGGAGACTTCACCCATATCATGTTACACGTGTGCCAACGCTTCAACAACGTGACTACCCAGCACGAGTTACTAGAAATACTGAGGCGAATGGATGAAGATACCGAGATTTTTAGAAAAATTTTGTGGAGCGACGAGTCAACGTGTAAAGGAGACGGATACCTTAACTTGCATAATCTGCAAAGTTGGCAGCGTGCAAACCCATATTTGATAAGAAAAGATAGGTCGCAATACCAGTTCAAAATAAATTATTGTACAGGAATACTAAACGGAAGAATCATAGCCCCTAGAATTGCCGGGTAAACTGAATGGGGCCAGTTATTTAGAATTTGAGAGAGCAAAATGCAGCCCATTTATTAGAAGATGAGCCACTAGCCATCCGGCGAAGAATGTGGCTCCAAAATGATGGTTGTCCGGCACATTATGCCGTTCTAAGTAAGGAGTTACTTAAACGAAGCCAACCGTGACCGGGGAATCGGCCGAATGGGACCGATGTTGTAGCCACCAAGATCATCTGATATTAACCCATTAGATTTTTGTTGTCTCGCTCATACAGCTTAGAATTCGTCCAAACAAGGCGAGCAGGTAGTAAAGTAAAATTTTCAAGGACGAAAAATTTACTTACCTAATAAAGACATGCAATGTTAAAAAAAGTACCGTTTTCAGTGCCTAGAAGACTGCAATGAAGTGGACGATATGAATGACAAGCTCGTGCAAACTGTGCATGCGGTCGGAGCAAAGTTCTGCAAGACCCGCCGCAGAAGAACACAAAAACTCTCCGATCACTTTCTCAATCTCATGGCTGTTAGACGGGAGATGAAGCTACATTCTTCAACAGATTTGACAGCATACAGGCAACTGAACAGACATCTCCAAATGCATGCGGCGGGACTTACGCAACTTCAATACAGCTTGTATTGAAGAAGCGATCGAGCGTAACCAAGGCTCCAAAGTCTTTGCCAGAGATCTGTCTGCCAGAAAGAGCCAACTGTCGAAGCTGAAGACCGGGTGTGGCAGCATCGTTTCCGGGGCACCTGAGATTTTGAGTGAGATTGAGAGGTTCTATGTGCAGCTTTACACGTCATCGTTGGAGCCACACGCAAGTGTGAGTAACGATCCAAGAGCGAGTCTTATCCGAAGACTATTCCGAAGATATCCCGGACGTCAGTCTGAGCGAGATTAGAATGGCTCTCCAGCACCTTAAAAACGGCAAGGCCCCAGGCGAGGATGGAATTACAGCGGAGCTTCTGAAAGCGGGTGGAAGACCGGTACTTGAAGTCCTTCAGAAGCTCTTTAATTCCGTCCTCCATGGTGGCATTAAATCGGAGGCGTGGAGCAGAAGTGCGGTGGTCTTGTTCTTCAAGAAAGGTGACAACGCTCTCTTTAAGAACTACAGACCAATTTCCCTTCTGAGCCGCGTCTACGTGCTGTTTTCGAGAGTCATTACGAATCGTCTCGCGCGCAGACTTGACGATTTCCAGCCTCCCGAACAAGCCGGTTTCCGAAAGGACTTTAGCACCATAGACCACATACATACCCTTCGGCAAGTTGTACAGAAGTCCGAAGAGTACAATTTGCCACTATGTCTGGCGTATGTGGACTATGAGAAAGCCTTTGATTCCGTCGAAATTTGGGCGGTGTTGCAGTCCCTTCAGCGGTGCCAAGTTGACTGTCGGTATATCGAAGTGCTGAAGTGCTTGTACAATAGAGCTACGATGGCTATTCGAGTACAGAACCAGAGTACGAAACCTATCCAATTGCAGAGAGGTGTAAGACAGGGTGATGTTATATCCCCGAAACTCTTCACCGCTGCATTGCAAGACGTTTTCAAGCTTCTGGACTGGAAAGGATACGGTATTAACATCAATGGCGAGTACATCACTCACTTTCGATTTGCCGACGATATAGTCCTTATGGCAGAATCGCTGGAGGATCTAAGCACCATGCTCAATGACCTCAATAGTGTCTCCCAACGAATAGGTCTTAGGATGAACATGGACAAAACAAAAATCATGTTTAATGTCCATGTACCACTTATGCCGGTAGTTGTTGGGAGCACTAAGCTCGAAGTTGTTGACGAGTATGTTTACCTGGGACAAATAGTCCAACTTCGACAGAGAGGTCAATCGACGGATTCAACTCGGCTGGGCAGCGTTCGGGAAACTACAACACATCTTCTCGTCAGACATACCTCAAAACCTTAAAACGAAATTGTACAACCAGTGCGTGTTGCCAGTGATGACTTACGGATCTGAGACGTGGTCCTTCACTGCTGGCCGTATGAGGAAGCTCAAGGTCGCTTCGCGAGCTATGGAGACGGCTATGCTCGGGGTTTCTCTGCGTGATAAACTTAGAAATGAGTATATTCGCAGTAGAACCAGAGTAACCGACATAGCCCAACGGATTAGTAAGCTGAAGTGGCAGTGGGCCGGCCATATAGCTCGAAGAACCGACAACCGATGGGGAAGAAAGGTTCTTGAGTGGCAGCCTCGTACCGGTAGGCGAAGTGTAGGGCGACCCCCCACGAGATGGAGTGACGACCTGGTAAGACGTGCAGGAAGTAGATGGATGCAGGTGGATCAGGACCGTGCTTTGTGGCATTCCTTGGGGGAGGCCTATGTTCAGCAGTGGACTCATGAAAGGCTGTAATGATGATGAATGTTAAAAAAAAACTATATAAGAGGTATGTAAGGATCGTGACACTTGGCGATCTGTTCTCTCTGGCTACCCCGTCAGGGATTGTGCGTGAAGATAAGTAAGTAAGTAAGTATCTGCCAATAATTTTGTAATGAAATGACTACTTTTACATATTAACGGCTATAGCTCAGTAAGTAATGACATTAAGTACATGGTATGTTAATGTTTTAGAATCCTTATGATATAGGCAAACTTTTTAAATGATTGACCACACAGATCCTATGCGTATTTTTTTTCACCACAGGTGTTCAAACTTAGCAGTTAAATAAAGTAAAAATTTAAACTTATGTTTAGTGCCGTCTTGTAAAATACTACCCAAAGTAGTTAAAAACTTTTAAGGGTAATTTAGAAACATCATTATTAGGGAAGACATTAAAAGAAACAAATCAGATCTAGGCACTAAATTGCTAATGTCTTCAGATATGGAGTACCAGAGTAGTGTAGCCTGAACAGTAACAGTATTACTGATATTATTAAAATTATTGTTAATTGCAGTGCTTACTTTTAAGTTTGTATGATTTTTCAGAGATTATGCTGCAGTTCTGCTTATAAGATATGGAGCTGATGTAAATGCTTGTGACCTTCATTCTTGCGGTTTGGATAATTTGTCAATAGCAAGTAGAAGAGAGTCCTACCATTTAGCTTCCATGCTAATAAAAGCTGGACATTATATATCCATCCAAGATTCAAGTGATGCGCCACCTATTTTCAGAAGCACAGCAAATTGGTTATTAAAAGCTTGTAAGGAACCTTTGAGTCTTTCAGACCTTTGTAGAATTAAAATTCGACGCACTTGTAATGCAAACTTAGTTTCTTATATATCTAGATTACCATTACCAAAGAGCTTAAAAAGATTCCTTATGATGGAAGATGAATGTTGTGATTACGTAAATAATCCTGTTAATAACCCACCAGTAGGCTGTACTTATTACTTATGGTAATAGAATAAACAAAATTCAAAATAATTGTTTGTGAAAGTCACTATTATTTTGAAATAACAGTGAAAACATTTAGTCAATAGGCATTAAGATGTTTTAATAGACAGGAAAAAACTTATTATTGCACAGTGTATTTGTATTATTAATGTAGTTTATGCACATAAAAATCAAGTGCATGTGCTTTACTTTTTAATAAAAGATCAAATACATCAAGATACAGTATATTTAGTATAAAGGTGTACATTAGTGAAAATATAAAACTATGAGAATGGTAATCTATTCTTAGTGATATTTTTATTTTATTAAAATAATGATGTTACTCTATAGTATATTCGTACAGAGGTATCTAATTTGTTAGAGCTACAAATATTATATCGATATTATTAACATTCAATCAAATTGTAGTTATGCAACAAATACAAATTCTTGATCTCTGATCTACGTCTTTTACTGTTGTTATTTAGTATAAACCCTCAAACTAATATCTAATATACATAAATGTTGCATACCATGTTTTGTAAAAAAGAACTTAAACTTAAAAAGAGTAAAATTATATGTTTTATAACAATGGTTACATGATATAAACTCTTGTCTTTGGTAACATAAAATTAAACAAAAAATCACAAGGAAAATTAAAATAATCTTTATATGTATTGTTATACTAATTATTATTGCATTATACCTACTTAAAGATTATACAAAAAATTAAAATTTCAAAACATACCTCTCACTTATTCAGTAGAAATAACATTTATCTTTTAAAGTTATCTTTAAATAAAAACTGGTACATATATTCAAAACAATAATATGTAATGGATATAAATTACTTCTTTATGGGAAATTAAAACACTACCGATAATTTCTCCTTAAAGCAAGGATCAAACGTTTCAATAAAATATCATAAATTTAAGATAAAGGATGGCAAGTTTGCAAAAGCATAGAGTTCACTTAGATTTTACATAATTTGTAAAAAAGCAGATTGGAAATGGATTTCAGAATTTAATAAATTTCAGTTTAGTACTTAAATGTAAAAGTAATTTTACCAATACTCTGAAAACCCGCCATAAAAAGAAGTTCCACTTTTACCCACACCTACAGTTACCGTAAAAAAGATAAAATAAAAATAGTATGGACCCTCTGTAAGTAGGAGGAAATTTATTTTTCTTCCATTAATCTATCTCCTGTAAAATTATGTCTTAATACATTTTTCTTTGAGATAAAAAATAACGCTTCAATATTGTATGACTGATATACAATGTAATAATATATTTAAGATGAAGCTGTTTTAAAATTACCATAATATGTCTATGTGACATAATATTATGGTAACTTTTGAAATTGTGAAACTATGAAATTGTCTCCCACAATGAAGCCATTTCTGTAAAAACAAATCATAAGAGAGGTGCTACTATAGCATCCCAAACTTGCCCATAATTAATTTCAGTAGTATGTTTTACAACCTAAAAATATATCTTTTTCTATAATGATTTCTTATATTTACGCGAACACTACACATTGAATAACACTATTTTTACGGATTTTATTCAATTTCTTTTTCTATTTATTTATAAGATACACCAACAACAAAACACATGAAACAATAACTTTTAATTAATTAATTAATAATTTCTATTAATATTTATAAATAATTAATAAAAACCCTCAGAAATGAGAGGAGGCCTGTGCCCAGGAGTGGGACATAGTAGGCTGTAACTTTTATTGATATTTATTATAATGTTCTATTTTAATCAGTTGCCAGATTGCCTTTGTAATCTCTTATAGTATCAATTGAGGGACAAACATCAGTCAATATACTCACTAAATCATATCTTTTGTTTTGGATTGCTTTGTGAAGTACTGTCTGACCGTCAATATCTTGTTTGTCGATACAAGCTCCAGATTGAATGAGGAATTTTAGTGTTGTAGCTTTGCCTGAAAATCATACAATGAAATATATTATAATGAAATAGTTACATTGTTTTTCACGTTTTATATGTTTGCCCATTACACAACTTTCTCATAATGTAGGTTAAAATTACTGAGGTGATTGATGCAAGTTGATTATACACTCATATGGAATAATCTACATTATACACTAATGTTATAAAAGTGGCAACCTTTTGGGGAGGCACATGTTCAGCAGTTGACTTGTGATAGGCTGTAATGATGACAAGGAAGGTTTGTAGGCGGAAATCTCATAAAATTAAAATTTTTCATTATAGAAAAAAAAAACACTATTCCCGAGTGGCACACGTATTGTGATATAAAATTGTTTTGCGTGTGAAATATGAATATTAAAAAAAAACTACTTTGAAAGAGAGCTGATTAGTCTTGATAAAAATGGAAACAATGTATTAAAATTAAAGGCTAGATCCACCTAATCCACCTACAGTAAAAGCTTAGTAGCTTAGGTAGAACTCTTAGAGTTTGAGCACCAAAAACATGTAAATAAATACTACTGAGATATATTTCTATTCTAAAACTCTTAGTGTGAACTCCCGCACTGTTATTCTACCACTTTGAGCAAATTCATAAACAGTGCCTATAATAGACGAAGAAACCCGCACCGTTAAAAGCATGTTTCATTTCAAACTCCAAAAAATCAAATCCATGATACCAGAAAACATTCTAAACAGAAAAGACGTAAACAATTATTACCTCCACAATACATACAAACACCAACCCTAGCTAATAAATAATTAAAAACCAAAAACAGGTATTGAAAATATAATGCTACATAGGGCACCCTAAAACTACTGTGCTCCTAGCCGCTCATAAATTTTTGAATTTCGAAAGTTATATATTTAAAGCATATGAAACTCATAAATCAATTAAAATAATTGTTGGTGGAAAGTAACATGTCAATTGTTTTTTTCACAATTTGAAGTTCCTTTGGTATCCTCAGCAAAAATGGTATTAGCCGCGTCCACACCGGGCGCACGGGCTCGCGCGGCATCCTCGGTGAGCGGCTCGCGAGCTTTGCTTCAAGAGGCAGCCACAGTAGTTTGCCCGTAAACACAGAGGCGAGACTCACAAGGCAGACCCATCCATCAGAAGCCCTCGAGCATACAAATGGACAGTTATGTAATTTCTGCTGCAGCTATTTTCATAGTAGCTTAATGATTAAGAAAAACGAAATGGTCACGTTTTAAAAAAAGACCAAGACACTTGTGAATTAAAAATCTTTATGAGCGTCACAATCAATATGGTAATAAATTACTAAAGTATTTGACATAATATGATAAAACCATACATAACTTTACAGGTTAGTCCCTACAAGAATTTGAAAAGTTATGCTCATTATTTTACTTTAAGATTTTTAGCGAGAGGAGACTTATAGCAAGCGTGCAATACTTGTTTCGAGTACATCAACACTATAGAATATTCTGGCGAGCCAAAATCACCGTCCACATCGAACGAAAGCGCACAATGAGGCACCTTTGAGCATGTCCACACAGACCGAGCATTTGGCTTGCGAGGCTGCTGCACTATTTTGGTTTATTTAGAAATTCCAGTTAAGTGTGCAAGAGCAGTGTGAAAGGTTCGAGAGATCTGGTATTGTGCAGTTACACCCTAAAATAACAATATCAAGTCGCAGATTGTTAAGGAACAATATATAAATTGTATTAAAACTTAATTTTTTGCTATAAAAAAGAATGATATATATATATGAATACTCAATAATAATACCAGCTGCAGCAGCTTTGTGTAGAGGAGTTGCTTTGCCACTTCTAGTTTCAGCATTAATATCTGCACCATTTTGTAACAGTATATTACATATATTAACATGACCACTACGAGCTGCATAGTGAAGTGGAGTGTAGCCTGCATTGTCTGGGCAATTTACAATTTCTTTAGCATTCCTTGCTTTGTTGATTAACATCTTAACTTTTTCTTCATCACCAGAAAAGGCTGAAAATTACCAATAATTTTATTATTTTAAAATGTTTTATTGTAGATGTGACTTGAAAATGATTTTGTTATGCCAGTGGATACACATTACAACAATATCCAGCATTGTATATGGATGAGAAATTAACAAACCCTCAGCTACAACTGACTCTTTTGCCCTTTCTGCATCAGAGATATCACTACTATAAAATTTTGGTTCCACCGGGGATGTACCAGGTTTTTCGTATGGTGAATGTAGAACACCCGAGATCCTTTTTAATGGAAATGAGACATTCCATCTTAGTCCGCAGAAGTGACAACACATCTGCATTTTGATTCTTAATTGAGGATAGGGCCTATGGGCCTTATCATCCACTTACCATCAGGTTAACCGATTCGTTGCGGCACCAATTTTCGACAACTTTTAACTGTGGCGGCGAACAAATATTTCATGACACGCCGGGCGTGTCAAGCGCCACAGACGTGTGTAAAAGTAATGTTCTTTTTTATGCTTTTTTTACTTGTTTAGACCTAATTAAGTTTATTTGACATCAAACATAAGTTACAGTACAAATGGAAGGATACTTACTTTTAGTGGGTAACTACGTGTTTTTTTACGCGTTTTCTTTGAAATTGAGAGAAAGTGACTTTTTTATGAAGAGATTACAAACCTTTTGTACTATTTTTTGTTGTTATAAAAAATAATTTATATAAGTAGGTACAGCTAAATCACCCTGGAAACCTTGGTTTTTATTAAATTAAATTTTCACCTAATAATAACATTTGTAAATATCAAACAATGAAGAACCTTAATTTGAAAAAAAAAAGGTATATCATTCATTGATATTTACAAATGTTAAATATTATTTAATGTTATACAAATGTAAAAGTACAGTCGATCTGAAAACGTCTAATTTGTCAAGCCGCCGTATAGCGCCGCGGCGCTATACGGCGCTTATACTGCCGCTTGACACGCCCGGCGTGTCATGAAATATTTGTTAGCTAAGTTGTCGAAAATTGGTGCCGCAACGAATCGGTTAAGGTTAAGGCTGATATGACACCATATCAAACAGATCAACTTAGGAAACTTCGTGTAGAACTAGCAGTTAGAACAGAAAAAGGTGACCAAAATCTTACGATCAAATACATCAATAACACGCCAAAGATTATAACAACTACAAAAAAAAACTAGCTCATACATATAACTCAATGAGCTCATCATAATATCACAGTATTTTGTAACCTAAACACGAATTTGGCTTCCATTATGGCGAAATTTTATTTTGTTTCTTCTTGAAATTAATATAGGTATATGAACCTGCTTTTATTTTGATATCAGAAACCCATATACATTTTGGAATTGATGACAGTCTTATAAATATAAACGGATAGGTATACGCTCTTTCGGTTGGACAGAAGAAAAAGAAAAGGTGGAGGAGTAGCAATGTACCTATGTTGCACATGACATTTACAATAAACCTATTATATCAAAAGTGAATAAATTATATTATAACTCATTGGTTGAGGCATTGTGGTTAGATATAGGTACGCTATGGATATTTAGATTTCATTTTGGCTTGTGTTTATCGTCCTCCCTCAAATGTTTTAACAAGTACTGGTAAAATATTATGTACACTGTAGAAAAGGCAGCTTCAAAGTAGACAGTAATTATTGCAAGTGATTTCAACCTTGTAGCACAAATTACTAGGAAACGTAACAATGAAGCAACTGATGTTAAGTATCTCCCGCCCATCAGAAGAGTTCATGGGCGGCGGTAATCACTTATCATCAGGTAAGCCGCATGCTGGTTTGCCCCCTCTACTATAAAAAATAGTCCCAAAAGACCTGAATTTTCTCCAAAAACTCGACCGCATAAGATTCGCTGAGGACATGCTCACGATGAGACGTGGGTTTAAGAGTTTGACATGCAAACTAGTCAACAAGCTTTATAGTGGCGCCTTTCAACTGCGCCACAACGCTGCAACCACGCCAAAGTCGATCAAAAGTCAAAGTCACGTTGACTGTTTTCTTTGACTATCGTGGTGTTGTGCACTCGGAATTCTTGCCGGTAGGTCAAACGGTAAATAAAGAATATTATTTGAACGTTATGCGTCAATTAAGAGAGCAAATTAAACAAAAAGGCCAGATTTGTGGAATTTCTTTCCACAAATCTGGCCTTTTTGTTTTTTTCTTTGATTTGGCACCACGATAATGCGCCTTCGCACAAAGCCGTCATTGTAAACGAATTTTGACCAAAAACTCAAGAAATATAATCGAGAAACCATCTTATTCACCAGATATGGCTCCAGCCGACTTCTTTCTTTTTCCTAAACTCAAATTACCAGTTTGAGGCACCCATTTTCATTCGATAGAAGACATAAAGGAGAACGCAATTCCGGAAAAAGCGTTTAAAAAATGTTATGATGATTGGTTTATTAGTTGGAGAAAGTGTATAATTTCTAAAGGAGCACACTCCGAAGGTGAAAAAATAAACTTGGATGAATAACTAACGTTTTGTGTATTATTGATTTTTTCCCAGTACATTCTTGACAGAGTAGTATATTATTAGTTAGGTGATCACACATAGTCCTCTGTAGACTCACAAAAAGACATTTGCATTAAAATAACCAGTGACCTCAAATGGGAAATTCATATCCATAACATAGTAAAAAAGGAAAACTCTATGATGTATATGATTTGAAAAAGGCCCAACGGATTAGTAAGCTGAAGTGGCAATGGGCCAGCCATATAGCTAGAAGAACTGATAACCAATGGGGAAAAAAGGTCCTTGAGTGGTAGCCTCGTATCGGTAAGCGAAGTGTAGGGCAAGCCCCCACTAGATGGAGTAGAGAACTGGTAAGACATGCATGAAGTCGATAGATGTGGGTGACTCAGGACCATGCTTTGTGGCATTTCTTGGGGGAGGCCTATGTTCAGCAGTGGACTTGTGAAGGTGAAATGATGATGATGATTTATGCAGCCCAAACAAATAACAAAATACATTTATACTAACATTTAAGCACATTAAAGCCAACGAGCAATGGCAAAGACAGTGCATTTCTAACCGGGGGACTGTATAGAAGGAGGAGCTCCATGGAAGGTTCTACAAAGTTCCACTGGTTTTATTCCCTTTCTCCCTAACCCCCAGCCGTTTTGTCTCCACTGCCCACGTCTTCCATCTGGTTGGGCTTTTATTTATTTATGTTAGTATATTTGATATATATTTATGTTTCCTTTTATATATTTATTCAGCCCAACCAGATGATAATACTCTATAAATACCACTTTATAATAATAAATATACTTATTGTTTATGTCACTATTGTTGTTGTTTATTTATTGTCAACTTTCCACACATTCCATTGCTTTGTCATTCATATTATCTACAGGAGTGGAATTTTTTTTACAGAATCTGTTACCTTCTGATTATAATGTAGGTGTGTTCAAGGCAAAAGTGAATATACTTTTGGTATGCTAAGTCAGTGCACTTCATCAGGTGGGATAGTAGTCAAGAAGTCTTAATAGTTAAAAAAATTCTATTTGCCTCATAAACATAGAGAGCACCTTTGAAAAACTAATTTCATCAGTATGGCAGCTGCACTCGGTAGACACCAGAATAGCAACACTCAGCAAACATGCAGTGAAAATTGTTGGTGATACATCTATAGTCTATACAAATAAATAAAATGTCTGTTTGTAATGTCAAACAGCTTTTTACTAAATGCAGATGAAAGTAATTACGGTACTAATAACAAAAATACAATTTTTAAAGCTTTTGTCTGTCTGTTTGTTTGTTCCCGCTAATATCCAAAACGACTGGACCGATTTTGACGGGATTTCCACTGGCAGATAGCTGATGTCACAAGGAGTAACTTTTATTTTAGAAAAAGAATTAGGATTCCGCGCAAAAAAATTAAAACCCCAAATAACACGCGGGTGAAGTCGCGGGGAACAGCTAGTGTATAGATAAATTGCATAATCACCTAAAATAATTGAAGGCTGGGTAGCCAGAGAGATTTTTTTTATCAACATCTTATAGGAAAATCATTTCTATAATATAAGATGTGCAGCTGGCTTAGGGGTAATTTTTTCATAGGGAAATACCTATGCATACCCACCTTGCAAGGGTGTGGGAATGAGAATGGGTCGGTTGGGGTCTGAAGTTTGCGACATACAGGGCTAAATATCTCAGTATGTTCTAGGATGCTTCATGAGGTTGTCATAATACCATGTTATTGTTGTATTTCTTTGAGGAGTCTTCTTGGCTCATAATTTTAATATCCCTACCTACTTGCAACATACAATCTTTAGACAAGGTGTCTTAAAAAAAGCCCATTGTCAACTATAAAATATGCCAATATTTCTCTATCCTTAACCGATTCGTTGTGGCACCAATTTTCGACAACTTTTAGCTGTGGCGGCGAACAAATAATTCATGACACGTCGGGCGTGTCAAGCGCCACAGACAAAAATGACACGCCTATTGTGCCATCCGCCATGTGTAAAAGTAATGTTCTTTTTTATGCTTTTTTTACTTGTTTAGACCTAATTAAGTTTATTTGACATCAAACATAAGTTACAAATGGAAGGATTACTGTTTTTTGTGGGTAACTACGTGTTTTTTTACGCGTTTTCTTTGAAATTCAGAGAAAGTGACTTTTTTATGAAGAGATTACAAACCTTTTGTACTATTTTTTGTTGTTTTAAAAAAATCATTTATATAAGTAGATACAGCTAAATCACCCTGGAAACCTTGGTTTTTATTAAATTAAATTTTCACCTAATAATAACATTTGTAAATATCAAACAATGAAGAACCTTAATTTGAAAAAAAAAAGGTATATCATTCATTGATATTTACAAATGTTAAATATTATTTAATGTTATACAAATGTAAAAGTAAAGTCGATCTGAAAACGTCTAAGAGGTAAGAATAGCAAAACAAGTGTTTTCAAAAGGAAGAAAACGCCGGCGCTATACGGCGGCGGATTGATAAATCACTATTTACCTATTAGCGAACTTTTTTTATGCATGAACGGTTTCGAACTGTTTCAAGAAAAAATAAACCTTATACCATATCACAAGAGCACATGGTACTTCGTAGGTCTATTCGGTCATAAGATAGTAATAAGACAGCAGTTCAACCATTTTAAGCAAAATTAAACAAAAAGACAAACGCATTGTTTTTTTTAACAGGAGACTTGTTTTCCAGAAATTTATTTACAACTTGAGTTTGTGAGCGATCGCAATGAGTGCTATTATTTGTTACTTATTAGACAATTTTTCCATAACATGATTTAAAACCCACAAAGTAAAAATAGTACCATGTACACGTTAAAAAAGGGTTGTCAACCCCTAAAAATTTCAAATTTTCAAAATATCCAGAAACGAAGCTGCATGCATGAACTACTCGCAAAATAATGAATATTTTGTTCGGGATAAATTTTCCAAAAAATCTATTTGAGTGAGTTATAATGATTTTTAAAAAGACACGACTCGCGTGTCATACACCACACACAAAAGTAATCGATGGCACGCCTGGCGTGTCACCCGCACTGAACTGATTAACTAAACATATTATAAACAAAACTTGTCTGAAAAATTTCTATAAATAATGACAAAATCCACATTAACATTCACCAAGTGGTTTTAAAGTTTTAAGCAACTAACTACACACATGGAGATAAGTGACTCTCTAAAACTATTTATTTGAAAGTTTTTGTTAATTACCTGCATTCCATAACCCTCTTTCCCAGTCCATTTCTGAAAGAGTCTGGCAAACTGATTTATTAACATTTTTCATAGAACAGCTGGCATGGTTACATTTAGTGTTATCGTCCATTTTTACAGAACTAAAAGTTATATTCAACAAAGATAATTTGATGTCATAAAATAAATTAAATTTCTCGCTGTAAGGTCCAAGTAATTTCTGTTTCTCCAGTGCTTGAAATAATCTTGTAGCCCAATTGGCCTAAGGAGTTAAGTGTCTGCAAAACATTTGTTTTGATTGAGACACCATTGACAACATCCACTCCTAAGCCAGGGAACTTTGCAGTTAAAGCTTTCACTTCTTCTTGTCCTAAACCAAACACAAAGCTGTCATTGGCATATAAAGAACCTTTAACAGCAATATAAACAACACCATCCTCAGATGGTATAGTACTCAAGTTATTTGCAGATTGGTTTTGACTGCCTTTCGTGTCCATAGTTCTTATATCAAATAATAAACATTTAATAAGAATAAAAAAATATTGTAATTATAATGCAAGCTTAAACCTCAGCGTCTTTGTTTGAATGTTGGTAGTTTCCTATATGCATAGCCTCTTTACTGAAATTTGTAATGTTATCTTGTTCCACAATAATTGATGGTTCTGGTTCCGAAAACTCTTTCCTCATAGTCCACATGTACTCATTATAATCTTGTTTAACAGCTGTTGAACTCGATGCTACAACTTTATAACCTAATACCTGTAAGGACGTAATGATTTATTATTGTCTATTGGCTTATAAACCATATTTTACGGCAGCAGCATAACTCACTTCTAAGGCGCTGAGTATGACGCAAGGATGTTGAAGATATACGATTGTGGAATCGTCGCAATATCCGCCACAAGCAAATCTTTTTAACTGGTCGATATCTCCAGCTGTATACAAAAACATAATAATTTAAATATCAACAACTAGCAGTATTCATAATTTTATCAACATAATCTTTACTCTTAAAATGAGAATAGAAGCAAATCATATAACGTTAATTTGTATTCAAAAACTTCAATATTAATTAAAAATTTTATTAATTGTATTGTAATTACAGATACAGTTGAAACACACAAACAATATTCTTTGTCAACAACTACCTTTTAGGCCGGATACCAATACTCTCCACGGGTTTTTATGCCCATAAGATGCCAGATTACCTCTAATCAAAATGTAGGGCATTGATTACGGATAATTTGCCGTTTACACTAAAGTTTTACAATACCTACCTATAGAATTATCAAATCAAACACTGATATGATTTAGTGATGATATTATGAATATGATTATGATATGAACATAGATAAATATATATATGAATATGAAATCGCGCCACAGAGTACATATTTTTTTTAAATAATAAATAACTTGCTTTACCGCTCTGGGTTCTAGACCTTCTGAGCCTAAAGATACAATGTGTAATATGTTGTAGATTGTAGGTTATTAGAACGCGTAGTGTTTCTATATAGTTTGTGGTTATTAGTCAGAGAAAAATACTTCCAGCTATTGCCTATGGTTATACATTATATCATCATCATCATCATCATCATTACAGCCCTTCACAAGTCCACTGCTGAACATAAGCCTCCCCCAAAGAATGCCACAAAGCACGGTCCTGAGCCACCTGCATCCATCGACTTCCTGCATGTCTTACCAGGTCGTCACTCCATCTCGTGGGGGGACGCCCTACACTTCGCCTACCGGTACGAGGCTGCCACTCGAGAACCTTTCTTCCCCATCGGTTGTCGGTTCTTCGAGCTATATGGCCGGCCCACTGCCACTTCAGCTTACTAATCCGTTGGGCTATGTCGGTTACTCTGGTTCTACTGCGGATATCCTCATTCCTAAGTTTATTACGCAGAGAAACTCCGAGCATAGCCCTCTCTATAGCTCGCTGAGCGACCTTGAGCTTCCTCATACGGCCAGCAGTGAAGGACCACGTCTCAGTTCCGTAAGTCATCACTGGCAACACGCACTGGTTGTACAATTTCGTTTTCAGGTTTTGAGGTATGTCTGACGAGAAGATGTGTCGTAGCTTCCCGAACGCTGCCCAGCCGAGTTGAATCCGTCGATTGACCTCTCGGTCGAAGTTGGACTTACCTAGTCGGACTATTTGTCCCAGGTAAACATACTCGTCAACAACTTCGAGCTTAGTGCTCCCAACAACTACCGGCATAGGTGTGACATGGACATTGAACATGATCTTTGTTTTGTCCATGTTCATCTTAAGACCTATCCGTTGGGAAACACTATCGAGGTCATTGAGCATAGTGCTTAGGTCCTCCAGCGAATCTGCCATAAGGACTATATCGTCGGCAAATCGAAGGTGAGTGATGTACTCGCCATTGATGTTCATACCGTATCCTTTCCAGTCCAGAAGCTTGAAAACGTCTTCCAATGCAGCGGTGAAGAGTTTCGGGGATATGACGTCACCCTGTCTTACACCTCTCTGCAATTGGATAGGTTTCGTACTCTGATTCTGTACTCGGATAGCCATCGTAGCCCTACTGTACAAGCACTTCAACACTTCGATATACCGACAGTCAACTTGGCACCGCTAAAGGGACTGCAGCACCGCCCAAATTTCGACGGAATCAAAGGCTTTCTCATAGTCCACATATGCCACACATAGTGGCAAATTGTACTCTTCGGACTTCTGTACAATTTGCCGAAGGGTATGTATGTGGTCTATTGTGCTAAAGCCCTTTCGGAAACCGGCTTGTTCAGGAGGCTGGAAGTCGTCAAGTCTGCGCGCGAGACGATTCGTAATGACTCTCGAAAACAGCACGTAGACGAGGCTCGGAAGGGAAATCGGTCTGTAGTTCTTCAAGAGAGCGTTGTCACCTTTCTTGAAGAACAAGACCACCGCACTTCTGCTCCACGCCTCCGGTGTAATGCCACCATGGAGGACGGAATTAAAGAGCTTCTGAAGGACTTCAAGTACCGGTCTTCCACCCGCTTTCAGAAGCTCCGCTGTAATTCCATCCTCGCCTGGGGCCTTACCGTTTTTAAGGTGCTGGAGAGCCATTCTACTCTCGCTCAGACTGACGTCCGGGATATCTTCGGAATAGTGTCGGATGAGACTCGCTCTTGGATCGTTACTCACACTTGCGTGTGGCTCCAACGATGACGTGTACAGCTGCCCATAGAACCTCTCATTCTCACTCAAAATCTCAGGTGTCCCGGAAACGATGCTGCCACATTCTGTCTTCAGCTTTGACAGTTGGCTCTTTCTGGCAGACAGATCTCTGGCAAAGACTTTGGAGCCTTGGTTCCGCTCGATCGCTTCTTCAATACGAGCTGTATTGAAGTTGCGTAAGTCCCGCCGCATGCAGTATATATATATATATATTCTAGCTGGCCAGGCAGACATTGTTCTGCTCTTTTCGACGACTATTCATATAAAAAATCCTTAAGTTCGTAATAAAAAATATTGAATGTCACTTATCAGGATAAAAACTGTCCTATCTCTCAAGTTGGACCAAACTGCACAGAGTGTGTAAAATTTAATTGAAATCAGTTCAGGAGTTTAGGAGTTCGTCGCGGACAAACAACGTGTCACATAATTTTTATATATAAAGATATATTACTTTATGTTCTGTCTTTGATCCATGATGTTTTAAAATGAAAAGGTAACGGAAAGGTGTTTTAAAAGATATGAAGAAAAATATTATAATTAGTAACTGTTTTTAACTTGTCTTGATTATATTGATTAAAATAATTAACTACCCACATATGGCAACCGTGAGGCAAAGAATTTAACTTATTAAAAGTCCGGAATGTCCGCTGTAGTTTGTGCTCAAATAAGTTAGTCTGATTAAGATTATAATAAAATAAATAGTTTGGAGGATTTGAGTACACATATTAATTAAAAATGGAGACTGCAGCGGCGATTAAAGAAAACTGGGAGCGAGAGCAACTAAGAAGAATTTTCAACCGAAAAGCGACGAAGCTGGCAGCAGATGTCATCATCATTATCATCATTACAGCCCTTCACAAGTCCACTGCTGAACATAGGCCTCCCCCAAAGAATGCCACAAAGCACGGTCCTGAGCCACCTGCATCCATCGACTTCCTGCATGTCTTACCAGGTCGTCACTCCATCTCGTGGGGGGACGCCCTACACTTCGCCTACCGGTACGAGGCTGCCACTCGAGAACCTTTCTTCCCCATCGGTTGTCGGTTCTTCGAGCTATATGGCCGGCCCACTGCCACTTCAGCTTACTAATCCGTTTAGAAGCAGATGTAAAAGTCGAAAATTTCTCGCAAGTGAAGATCGACATTGAATTTCTTAAGAGTAAGGTTGAGCAATTTTTTTTCATAAAATCATACAAGACAGCATATTAGGAAGCGACAGTTATGATGAAGAATCCTTTGCCATTGAAATTGACACAGCGGATACGTATAAATACAGATGGCATACGACAATCATGTAAAGACAGGTATGGCGCAAAAAATTTCTCACGGTACGGTTGAAGATGTAAAGCCAGTCAGGAATTACAATTCACCAAAGTATGAGCTAAAGAAATTAGATTATTGGGGCCAATTTAAGAAAATTGACGAAGACCATTTATTGTCTGGAAAGGATAAGTATCAGTCCCTCCTTCAATCATTGAAGGATGATAGTAACGCTTGAGTATTGGTGGAATACCAGCGTGAAATAGCAGGTTAATGCTGCTGTGTTTCGTATGGTGCGTGTAGAGAACCGGAGACCCATTTTATTATTAGATTACAAATGATACAAATCCAGGCCACATCATAGTGTTATTAAATTAGGTTGTGTCATATTGTAATGTGACTTATATTATTTATATAATACTATGACGGTCACTAGAACACATGCACAACATACAAGTCTTCAGATTCCACTAGACTAGACGTATCGCGAGCGCACTTGAAGGATCGATGCGATGTTGAGAGAGAGAGAGAATAATTTAATCGACCATAGTTTATGTCACACATTTTTAGGATCTAGCGGTACCTAAAACGTTTTTATTTACAAAAATCATCATCAAAATATAGAAGTAAATAAATCATAAAATGGAATGTATCTCGGGTTACATTATTTATATTTACAAGTCTGGTGTACAAATGATATAAAAATTATTTATATTACATTCTAGAGAATAATTCATATGCCGTGATGATGTGTTTTAATCTTCAATTGTTTAATGTTACAAAGCCAAGGTTCTCATTAAAATAATAACACGATACTTACTTATGAATGCATTTCTTATTTCTCATAATTTATATTTACTTATCTATAAACCTATCTAGTTACAAATATAGTATACATAGACGTTATTGTCTAGTTACATTAAAAATCAGTCATGAACTCTTTTACCCACAGTGATGTTTTTAATATTGTTTTTTGAATAAGGGTGACAAACGAGCACACAGTCCACCAGAAGGTAAGTGGATGCTGTGGTCCAAAGACATTTACATCTATCCTCGATTAATAATCAAAATGCAGATACGTTGCCGTGAGGACTAAGATGGAATGGCTCGTTTCCAGTAAAAACGTTTTCCGGTTTTCTACACTTACCATAGGAAACACAGCAGCATTGAGTTTCTCAAATTTAAATACCTATCGTATCGGAATCGGAATCTGAATCACAGCAAAAACATTTGAGGATATTTATTTAGTTAAAATCAGCGATCGGTACGTTTATCAACGAAGAAGAAGAACACATGTTAAAATTAAACGACAAACAGCTGTTGCAAGAGCAGTCTATTTTAACTTGAAATAATAGTTAAACTCTAAAAATTACAGTTGAACTGCCCCTGATTGACCGCTTGAACTTTCTATAATACTCGTATAATATAAATCAAGGCTAGCCTAAACTTAGAATCAATGGATTAAATTATGGTTTGCATTTTAGATCAAAACTTTCATATATATACATATTTATTTAAAAGTTAATGTGAACGGGTGTTACATATATAATAAATAAACTCGCATTGAAAGTATTATTTTCTTGCTTTGCATTTTAATACCCTATACTTGCGCTTATCACGACTGAGGAATCTTGGCGTAAGATTCGCGGTTTAGCGATTTAAAGTCTTAACTGGTCCGTGACTGCTGCACAGAACACTAATAATACCCTTAGGCGGGGTGTCGACAACTACATAAATAGTAGCACAGAACAAATAATAGTACAAGAAGTATTAGTGCGGATATCGTAATCCGTAGAGTGAAAACTGCTAAAATTAATAAATGTACGATATAAGTAAAGTATGATTTATTAATTTAATCAATACAAATGATACTAATATTATATAATCAAGTT